TAGTAGTAGTAGTGTAGTGTGTGTGTGTGTGTGTGTGTGTGTGTGTGTGTGTGTCTCAAAAAATATAAGTTTTCTAATATTTAATATATACATTGATTTATTAATAAATTAATTTAACTTATAAAGAATCGCTACGCTTCTGAAAGAAACAACGAAGAATGGCTACAGAATCGTGTATGGGACACTTTTGAACGCCGATCCTTCTCTCTACGTCTACAATGATAGCGTTAAATTAAGTATGATGTTAAACGATGTATGGCTTCTGACAGAAGGTACAACCAATGGATATATCTTTCTCTCCGATGTTAGTAAGCTATCTTTCGGTCATATTGCGCGAATGAATCCACTGAGTCTCAAGAAACTTCTACGTTATATTCAAGAAGCGATACCGATACGCTTAATAGAAATTCATGTCTTAAACGCGCCATCCGCTATAGAAGTACTCATGAATATGACAAAACCTTTCATGACAAAAAAATGATAGATATGGTAGGTGTTACAAATAAATCAATTAATTTAATTATAATTATTTAACAGCAATATTCACGTTTTTGATAAATGCATTTATTCGTACCAGACGTAGAATGACAAAAGACGTAGAATAATAAAAATCAAATAAATCTAAACATTACGATTTTTTTAATTATATCTTTATAATTATACATAATTATAATTATACATAATTTTTGATCATGCCTTCTATAAATACTGAAATTTTTGTATCTAGTTGCCCGTAACATTACAAAGTTTTAACTCGAAAAGATTACAGTAATTTCAATTACAATAATTTTAAATAAGTTTTCTTAAATCACTTAATCCGCTTAGATACATTTCCACTCATCGTTGGAGACCCTTCCCGAATATATCCCAATAGATGCGCTACCAAACGAAATGGGTGGAAAAGCTGGTTCTATACACGAATTAGCTAAAATTGAAATAAAAAAACTTGAGGATTATCGCGAATGGTTTCTGATGGACGAAGCGACCGGACGTATGAACGAAGCATTGAGAATCGGCAAAAGCAAATTAGCAAGTGATTTATTCGGTGTAGAGGGTAGCTTTAAAAAGCTTGATATAGATTAATAAAGTTTATATATATATATAAAAGTTGTAAGGAATAATTAATTATAAATCATATGAAAC